GAGTTAGTAGCAGTGTTAACTGCTTTGCAAACACTTTCTGACCCTCTGAATATTGTTTCTGATTCGGCTTATGTAGTTCATACAGTACAGAACATTGAGATGGCGTCTCTATCTTACAATTCAAATCCATCTCTTAAAATTTTATTTAATCAACTCCAGCAGGTTGTGAGAAACTGCCAGCACCACTTCTTTATCATGCACATTCATGCTCATACTGCCCTGCTAGGTCCAATGACACAAGGCAATTCAATTGCTGATTCATTAGTAGGGAGTGCCCAAGTTGCTGAGGCAATGCATTTCATTCTTTAACTCATACTAATGTGGGTGGTCTGCGTTCACAGTTCTCTATCACAAACAAACAGGCTCATCATATAATACAGACATGCCCTACCTATCAGATCCTTAACACACCTCCAAAATGCACTAAAGGAGTAAATTCTCGAGGTCTCGTTCCTAATGATATCTGGCAAATGGACGTTACTCACGTCCCATCCTTTGGAAAATCCTCATTTGTACATGTTACAATCGATACTGCCTCTGGCTTTCTTGTGGCTACAGCTCAGACTGGTGAGGCAGTAGCCCTCTCTTGCCATCGTTTATTAACCTGTTTTTCTACTATGGGCCTCCTTAACAACATTAAAGCAGACAATGGACCTGCTTACACCAGTTCTAAGCTTGCAAGCTTTTGTGCCACTTGGAGTATTACTCATACCACAGGCATCCCTTACAACCCACAGGGTCAAGCCATTGTTTAATGTGCTAATTCAACCTTAAAGAAACAGTTGCAAAAACAGAAAGGGGGAGACATAAGAGAAACCCCACAGGTACAATTAGCAAAAGCTATGTTTACTTTAAATTTTTTGAATTCATCTGGTTCAAGCACTGAACCACACCTTGGGCGGACTGCAGCTAAAAGACATTTTCATAACAGCCCAAGGTCACTGGAAAATGTGCCCATTTGGTGGAAAGACATTCAGACTAATCAATGGCATTTATGAACTTTATTGACATGGGGACGAGGCTTTGCTTGTATTTCTCCAGGTCCAAAAGAACATCCTTTGTGGGTACCTGGCCGGTGTGTCAAACCATATCAGCATGACACCGAAAAAAAGAAAGCCTGGACAGGGTTGTAGTTGACAATTCTTATGAAACCATTATTGACTGGGGTCCCTTTAGGGATACCATTCATTTCTGTTTCCATTTAAAATGTTCTGAACCTCAACGAAGGAGGGGACAGATATCCTATTATGGCTTTCCCCGAATCACTGAGTCTCCATTTACTTTTCCATTTTTTGGAAAGATAGGGCTCTTGCCCCGCCTCAGTTAAGAATGATTAGACCCATCCAGGGCTCATTTCAAAGGACCTTATGGAAAGTAGCCTTAAACATCGGACCAAATAAGATTTGGGAAAAAAAAATCTTACTAAAAATAACAAAAAATATACTTTCCAGTTGGAAAAAACAAAAATGCTCTATTTACAAGTTTGTCTTAAAACCCCTTTTGTTTTCTTGGTAGGAATCTTCGCCACTAATCAGGCTACAAAATTAGTCAAATGCCCTCAATGTCATTTATATACCTGTCTTAATTCCTCAATTTATAATACCTCACACGACCAGATCATGATATTAAGAAGGAGACGAGGATTATGGCTCCCCATCCAAGCTTCTAGGGTGTGGGAAGGTTCTCCAACTGTCCATATTGTTTTGCAACTACTTCATAAGATTTTACATAGGACTAAAAGATTTACTGGTCTTTTAATAGCAGCCACTATGGGAATAATAGCCGTAACCACCGTTGCTGCTGTCTCCAGAGTAGTTCTTCACCAGACGGTGCAGACTAGCCAATTTGTACAACAATGGCATGAAAATGCCAGCAAAACTTGGAATCAGCAGATAAGAATTGATCAAGAAATCAGTGTACGATTAGCTGATTTAGAAATAACTGTTGTTTCTCTTGGAGACCAGTTAGAAAGTCTCCATACCATGATTACCTTAAAATGTGATTGGAGGGGCCATCTGAGTGGCGCATTGGTTAAGAGCTGGCTTGGGATACCAGAGGGCCCCGGTTCGGATCCCACATATGAGGGCCAGTGACACTGCCCTCTACAGCTAAGATGCTGAACAACTCAACCTGGAGCTGGGCTGCCGTGAGTCGCTGGCGACGGCATAGGCTGCAGCCCCTGCTGCAGTGGGTTGCCATGGGCTACCGCGTGTAGCCAGCAGCCAGCGTGAGCGGCCAGCAGCTGCTGGGAGCAGCCGTCCAGTGAAGCAACGTCCTCCACAACTAGACTGAAGAACAAAAGGACAGCAACTTGTCTGTTCCCCTTCCCCCAATTCCCCAGCGCTGTTCCCATCCCCCAATTCCCCAATAAAATCTTTAAAAAAAAATGTGATTGGAATGTTTCCACTTACTGTGTAACTCCTTTTCCTTACAATCAGACATGTACCCCGTGGTTGGAGGTAGAGCTCATCTCTTGGGACATATGCCAAACCTTACTGTAAATATCCTACAGTTGCAACAAGAAGTGGTCAAATGTCTTCTGCGAATCTCCAGCTCCTCCCAGGGGAGGAATCCCTTTCCGCAGCTGCGGAAGGACTTTCTGCTCTAAATCCCCTTACTTGGGTGAAAAGTCTAGGTGGAGGATTTGCCGGTGCTCTTATATTTTTATTGATTATTCTATTATTGCTCTGTTTAGTCCCCAGATATGGACAACAAGCCCTCCGGCGGGCAATAGATGAAGAAACTGCAAAGTCTGTGTTTCTCCTGCAAAAACAGAGAGGGGGAGATGTTGCCTTACAGTTACATCCTCGACCGCTCCCCCACACCAACCCCTGACCTAATAAGGTCATGAGGAAGTGTCTTGAAATGCTGAGACCCAGTGGAATGATATCACTAAAGCTTCCTCAAGGCGGTGTCTCGGAACGCTGAGACCCGATGGAATGATGTCTGTCATCTCCCTTATTTTTATCGCCGCGGTACAGCTACACCATCCTGGGGGTTGTGTGTGTGGGAGTATGAAGGCAGAGCAGGTGTTGGAATACAATGGGTCTAGTTGATGGAAAAGAGCTAACTACAAAAGCTTATAGAAAGAAGACTTAGGGAATCCTTGGGACTTTTCTTGGTCAAGCTTGGAAAATCTAGGGTCATGACTCTGGAGTGCTCTCCAGTCCCTTCTTATAATACTTCTAGTTATACTTGCTTGTCTCAGAGTTTAAATATTGCCCAGAATCTTAAAATGCTTCTGAACAGTTGCTGTCCCAACAGACGACTTAAAGACAAAAACAGGATGAAATCATGATAAATGCACAAACTGAAAATCAGATCTCCAGAGACGAAACCTCTTCTTCAAAGAGAATCAGTGACAGTGGTGAGTGAGCCTTTGATAGTTTCTTCTATGGCTTTAGTGGGATGAAAATCAAAAGGGGAAGCTGGAAACAAAACAGTTCCTATAAACTTATGAAAAAAATGGTGATTCTGTTGTCTTGGTGACAAGTAGTCATCAGAACTGGTTTAAACCTGTTCAGATGATATACAACAACTCACCTCAATGAATACAGCTTTGTAAGCCAATCAGTTGTTAGCTCTTCACTTTTGAAAGCCAAGCAGTGAGGAACAGGTTCGTGTCAATAAGTACACTGCTGAGTGCCAAACACTCAATAGTCCCACCAGAGCAACCAGGCTTCCCCAAATCCTATTTAAATAAAATGAGTATTCTGCTCTGCATGGAGAGAATGTAACTAACCAGCACAGCTCTCCTTTATAGTAAGCAATGAATTCAGTTTGCCTTTTTATTTCAGTTATTGAGTGGTGGCCTCAGCATCCTTTGACATTTTCACTGTAAGTATTATTTTACCTTTTGAATTTTCAATGATGTGAATATATTACATATTCAGTAAATGAATAAATAAACTTTAAATTTAAAAAGTTTTATCTCAGAAATCCTTTTTGCCTATGGTTTCAAAGGTCAATGCCATCAGTAAATGCTATAAAATGTTTTAAATTGCTCTCAACTTATTTCGCTATTAAGTGAAAACATGTGTAACAGACAATATTATTCATAGATTAGATGCTGATTCTGTACCATGGTTAAAATGTGGGGTTTACTGAATGTTAGATTAAAGTAGGATATAAAAAGTTAATGTAATTATTCACCTCCTTTACTAATAATGGCAAAAAAATTATAGAAAGCTTTTCGGAAAACAGGTTTATGAAGGATTTTGAATGATGTCAAAACTAGGAATTAAACTAAAGTCTCAACACACCCAAAACTTAAAATTGTTGGTGCTAGTGTTACCCTACGTTGATTTATTCAGAGAAAGGACAGATACTATTTTTAATTTTAAATATAAACATATATACCATTATCTAATATGTAGCCTGAAACTCTTCAATTCTTTATTTTAAACCTGACACAAAAATACAGATTTTAAGAAGGCCTAATTTTTATTATTCCTCTAGTTTATTACAAATCTTATTCAACTTCTGTACCTATCATGTTAATAAGTAATAATAATAATAATAATAATAGCTAATACATACACAGTGCCATGAGCCAAGCACTGTCCCAAGTGTTTTATAAATATTAACCCAAGGAGTATCCTTTGTCAAAAGATCAGAATTCCAGTTCTCATTTAGACACATTCCCCTTATTCTAAGAGAGGCTTTATTCTGTTAGGACAAAGAGTTTCCCTATAGAAATCAGACTCTGGCAACTCAAATACTAACCACCAATTAAGAAATATAATTTTTTAAATTACAATCTTTTTCCTGTAGATCATATGTTTAAATACCTTTGTTCCTGATTTATTTAAATGTTGGTAGTAGCTAATTTTCAGCTAAAAATAGGAATTTGTATAAACATGCCGTTGTACCCAGGATTCTTTCACATACTGAAGTTCAAGAATTCAAGTACCCAATTCAAAAGTCACATGTCAGAAAAGGTTTGTGGGGTAAAACATTCTGGACATTAAACCCACTCCAGAACTTTCAGATTGCTTTACCTCTGTCAGTTCCAGAGCTTTATTGTAGCCCATCGAGTGCAGAGTGACCCAAAGGTCACGAGGGTCTCCTTCGCGATCATTGGCTTCCATTAGGTTCAGATCCATAAAGCCCTGTCGCGTTAGTTCATTCTTCTTTGTATCAAAATTCTCTGTCAAAACAACCAAAAGTTATTTTTTATGTAAATTCATACATTTAACAAAAGGTCTATTATGTATTATTCATAAATGTTTACTTGAAAGGAGGACTTATGAATCTGTGAGCCACGTAAAAGAGGAATAAGGGTGGCTCAAAACATGCCTGAGATATCATTTTAATGTCCCACAAGGCAACCTGATAATCATCACAGTGCATGATTTAGTTCTTCAACAAAATCTGATGTTTTAAATAATGTAAATGTATTCCAAAATTAGAAGAAACTGCAATTTTCCTGGGTAAATTCCAACCTGCCTGCTTATGTAGAGTAGATACTGATATATATTGCAAAAATTAAACTGCTTCATATATATTTGCCACTTAAACCCAGAAGAATCTAGATAAATTTGATATAATACCCCCAAAACTACTGGTATTTCAAAAAGGGAGATGGGGATGGTGCCAGATTTAAGAAGACTGCTATATCCCTAAATATTCCAATTTTAACTGAACTGTCCCCTTTTCCTCACAAAACTGTTAGATAATAGGAAATACTTTGGAGTTCATGAATGCCTCAGACAAACTTAAGTATGTCAATTTTAATATTATTTGTAAGGAAAAATAAATTCATTTAGAAGTATTCAGATATGTGTAATTCCTGAATTTGTCTATTAAATAGATAATAAACAGCTACTTATTATGGATTATATTCTCTAAACTGCCCAACAACATGAAAGATTCCATTTTCCAACTCCCATCTGTAATATACCCAAGGAAAGTGGGTACTCTAATTTGAGATATCTGTTTTGTATGTATTATTGTGAGAAAAGCAGCTGAGACAGAACTGTTTAAAACTAGTTGACTGATTAATAGTTTAAAATGTTTAGAGTTTGAAAAGTGACTCATAACTTTTACAAGGGAAAAAAAGTAAATGATTAATTAGATCACTGAAATGGAGGCTGGAGTTACTCTGTAGAAAAGCAAAATGAAAGAAATTAATATTTGATACATAGTACAAATAAATTATTACTTTCAAGAAAATGTATCTTGATACTGTACTATAGAGACTATCAATAACTAATCTACTTTAAAACTTAAAATTCTCAATCCTCCATTAATTTTTTTAAAGTTTAATACTCAACTTCAAGACTTATTATAAAGCTATAGTAATCAAGACAGTGTGGTATTGGCAAAAGATTAGATAAAAAGATCAGTGAATAGAATGGATAGCTCAAAATAGATCCTTACAAATATATTCAATTCATATTTGACAAAAGAACAAAGTCAATTCAATGGAGAAAGGATAGTCTTTTCAAAAAATGGTGCTGAAATAACAGCAATATTGCAAATATTTTTTGCATCCACATGCAAAAAAAATAAATCTAGACAAGGACCTTACATCTTTCACAAAAATTAACTTAATGGGTCATAGAAAAAAATGGGTAAGAGACCTAAATGGGTCATAGACCCAAAACACAAATCTATAAAAACTTCAAGATAACAGGAGAAAATCTAGGTGATCTCGTGTATGACGATGAGTATTTAGACACAACACCAAAAGTATGATCCATGAAAGAAAAAATTGATAAATGAAACTTCATTAAAATTAATAACTTCTGCTCTGTGAAAGACAATATTAAGAGAATGAAAAGAAAAAACCACAAACTGGGAGAAAATACTTGTAAAATATATATCTGATAAAGACTTGTATCCAATATATACAAAGAACTCCACAATAAGAAAACAAACATCTTAATCAAAAAATGGGCAAAAGATCTGAACAGACTCTTTGCCAAAGAAGGTATACAGGTGGTAAATAAGCATATGAAAAGATGCTTGATATCATATTTCATTAAGGAATTGCAAAGTAAACAACACTGAGATACCACTACACATTTATTAGAATGGCTGAAATCCAAAACACTGATAATACCAAATGCTGACAAGGATGTATCAGGAATTCTCTTTTATTGCTGGTGGGAATGCAAAATAGTATAGCCACTTTGGAAGACAATCTGATAGTTCTTTCAAAATTAAACATAGTTTACTATACCATCCAGCAATCATTGAATTGAAATTATTAAAATGAGTTGAAAACTATGTACACACAAAAATCTGCACGAGTGTTTATAACAGCTGTATTCATAGTTGCCAAAAATTGGAAACAATCAAGATGCCTTTTAATAGGTGAATGGATAAACAAACTGGTACCTTCATATGATAGAATATATTATTCAACACTAAAAAGAAACGAGCTACCAAGCCACAAAAAGACATGGAGGAAGCTTAAATGCATATTACTAAGTGAAAGAAGCCAGTCTGAAAAAGCTGTATACTGGATGCTATTTCAACAATTTGATACTCTGGAAGATGAAAAACTATAGAGACAGTAAAAAGATCTATGATTACCAGGGATTTGGAGTGATGAACAGGTAGGTAATAGGTGGAGTGCAGGGGATTTTTAGGGCAATGAAATGATTCTATATGATACTATAATGGCATATATATGAAATTATATACAGAGGGTGACAAAAAATGTATACGCATTTTAAGAAAGGAAAAAACTGTATTAATATACTTGTATACCGATAATAAAAGATGAATACAAGTCACATTTGACTTCTGCAATTACAAGAGATGCTCAAAGTGGTTACCATCAGCATCCAGACACTTCTGATTACAGCGAACTACTGCTTGAGCAACATTGACCAAAGTGTTAAACATCTCTTAGTATATGTATACATTTTTTTGGCACCCCCGATATTTGTCAAAACCCACAGAACTGTACAGCACAATATAACCCTAATGTAAACTATGAATTTTAGTTAATAATAATGTATTAGTATTTGTCCATCAATTTTAACAAATGTACCATACTAATGCAAGATGTTTATATTAGGGGGAATTAGTAGAGAGGAGAGAAGGGATACATGGGAGATCTACTCAATCTTTGCTGTAAACCTAAAACTACTTTAAAAACAAAGTCTATTAGTAAAAATAAAGAAGCCTTTAAGTCTAGAAACAGCTTATTAAAATGATCTTACAGATAGTGTTTTTTTAGTATTGAGGAGAATAAGTAAAATTAATGTTATATATGACTAGAAAGATAAACACTTCAGAAGCGAAAACGTCCATTTCTTTGATGCATTATTAATGTCGGTGAAGAAGACATTCTCCCCAAATTATTTTTTAAGTCAATTATCCTTGGGGATTTTTTTATATCATGGTGCTTAAGATTCTGGACCCTGACTGCCTGGGTTTGAAACTCAACTGTGAAATTTCTTGCTGTTGAACCTTGGTCAAGTGACTTATCCTCTTTTATTCTGTTTCCTTATTTGTAAAATGAGAATAGCACATAACTTAGAGAGTTTATATGCAGCAGTGCTTCCACCTGGTATATGGTAAATTCTCAAAAAACGTTAACTATCAACTCTACCAATTTAATTAAATTTTTAAACTAAAATTTTATTTATCAACAGCTTTACCATAGGAAAATCCTAATTATGATTTACTCTCATGGAATGTGCTCTAGTGCTAACAATAGAGAATCAAAAGATTATATCATTAAAGTTTTAAGATGATTACATCTTCCTAAAAATAACTCTATTATGCATATTATCAATCTTGTCAATCAAAGTTTAATATTATAAATCAATACAGATTTTTATTATTGATTACATTATGTAAACTTTCAGTTAAACAGAGATATGTTTTTTAAAATCTTCCTATTAATAATATTTCTACTGTACTCGCAGTTTAGATAAACACATTTATCAGACTCCCACCTGGCTCACTAATTGTGCCAAGCTTAGACCATTTTAAGAACCAGAGTAGGACACAGTACTGCCCCAGTGAAAGCAATATGTGAGTTAATCTCTGTCTTGACTGCATTCTGGCCTCCTCAGACTTCTTGTTCTGTGACCTACAGTTGGCTGTGGCTTTTTGGTTTTCCCCTTTAACCTTTCAGTTCTTGGCTTAAATACAAAGGCCTACTTTATTCCCAGACTCCTCCTAAGGGACAAATGTTTTTGCCTCATTCTCAGTATTTTCTTTGCCTATCTTGGTATTTTTGGCTTCCATACCTCCATGAATGGACTTTCTTAATTCAACTAAATACAAAAAACTAAAGAATTCTTAATAGGTATAAACAACTTCCTGGGTGGGAGCTTCTTCATTTTTAGTACAACTCTAGCCTATTAGCTCTTTGCTGCCCTCTCCTGGGCAGTTGAGGGCTCTTGACCACTTCAGTCCCATTGGTATTTACACCAATGGGACTGAAGCTAGGACAGTGTTTCCCATTCTAAGCTCCAAAGAGCATAAACTAAAAATGAAATTATAATTAAGTACTGAAACGCATACTGTCTTTTAACTTGAGTAATACACCAACTATCAATTTAAGGAAAATAAATGTTTAAATTTTTATGGTCTACAAATAACGCTACTACTTTTAAACTGTCCTAATTGCTATAATAATATTCCATGGTGAAGTCTGACACTTTACTTCTTAAGGATGAAAGGAGGCTATATATATTTTTTACATATCTATCCAGAAAAAGAAAAGTGCTTACCTCTGCAAACAGCCCAAGCATCTTCATCACATTTCTCACCACTGGTTCTCAATTCAAAAAAATTGTATTCTTCAAGGCTAAGAAGACCATTTCCATCTAGATCAATTATATCAAATATATCTGATAAAGTTGACCTAAAATTATAAAAATAACAAATTATTTCTCGTCTCCAAGGCAACTAGACTGAAGAAGGTTTCTATGAAGAAAACTTTCTAAAGGAAGTAATATCAAGGCATTGAACACTTTTTGTGAACTATAATGTATCCAAATATATTTTTTACTCAGTCTAGTATTACATTCGATAAAGAAGCTTCTAGGGCCAGCCAAGTGGCGCATTGGTTAAGAGCTGGCTTGGGACGCCAGCTCTGAGCAGCAGGGCCCCAGTTCTGATCTCACATGGGGGCCAGTGGCACTGCCCTCTACAACTAAGATGGTGAGCAGCGGCTCGACCTGGAGCTGGGCTGCCGAGAGTCGCCGGCGATGGCGTAGGCTGCAGCCCCTGCTGCAGTGGGCTGCCATAAGCTACCGTGTGTGGCTGGCAGCCAGCGTGAGCTGGCAGCCGGTGTGAGCTGCCAAGAGCCGCCGTGAGCGGCCGTCCAGAGACCAGAGACCGATCTGCCTCACCCGGGGTGAGCACAATGATGGTGCCAACATGGGCCAGTGAAGCGACATCCTCCACAACTAGACTGAGGAACAGAAGGACAGCAACTTGTCTGTTCCCCTTCCCCGATTCCCCAACGCTGTTCCCCTCCCCCAATTCCCCAATAAAATCTTTTTAAAAAATGAAGCTTCTAAAGCGACCACAGTATATCTCAACACATAGTTGGACCTCAATGAAGAGTAGTTCCCTTCTTTTTTCCTTTTTCCATCCACTATCTTTTTCCTCTCCACCAGATGTTCTTGTGTATATCTAGGGCATGGGAGAACTATCTAAGAGCTGGGGTTTCCTATTTGACAGTTATCTAAGTCAATAGTGCAACTAGCAGGACCTATTTCTAAGGTAGTGCCTGCTACCCAGAAATGAATGGCAATCCCAGACCTGTGAATGGAAGGTCACTTGCAGATGCCTAATGCAAGAGCCGAATTACTGAATTGGAATCTTGGGGTGGAGTGGCAGCTGGCCAAGAGAAAGGATGGAAGACAGGCTGTTAGTATATATATCCAGTTTTGATTTTATAGTTCTAACCTTAAAAAACAGAACTTACCTAAATTCCTTTGTAAGAAATAATTCCCCTGTTTCATATCTATATACAAGCTGGGCTTCTTCTGTTATTGGCTTTATTCCTTTCCTCAGCCTACAGCCAGTTGTGGAAGGAATTAACCAATAAATTCCAGGTCCTAGTTCACCAGTCCATCCAGAAACCTTTTCTCAAAGGAATTTAAAAACAAACAAACAAACAAAACTACTATGAGCTTAACAAATTTTTTTTTAATTACAGTTGAGCTTAATGATTTTAATCTTCCTTCTGAAAGGAAAGCATTAGAAATAATTTTTTAAATCAATATTCACCAGTTCTATTATGGGTCTATCAATCTTTCACAGGTTTCAAAATCGTTTTTTAATGCTAACCCTAGTACAAGACCATTAGATGTCGTTCTCTGCATATATTTTTTTAAATGCCCAAAACTCTAACAAGTAAGAAGTTATATAATATCTAAATCTTCGCCAATGATCTCCAAAGATGTTTCTGTTGCAAATATCTTCAACAAGAAGCAAAGACATAGATCTTAGAATAGTTTTTTTCAGGTTATAATTTTCTAATTTGATTCAAATATAAATATATGATTTGTAAATCAGATTTCAATGACACAAAATAAAATAGTTCACTGTTTGTATAAATTAGCCATATTTGTAAGAATCCAGTTATGGATTGGACAAAAGGACAGGAATTTTACTATTACTTATGTAATATGGACTCTAAAACAAAATGGCAGAATCCCATATACAAAATTCTTTTCCATCATAGGATATTTCTAATGAGTGCCAGGACATTTCTATAGAATAACATTTCATTCTCCTGCTCTATAAAAGGAAGCAAAATGGCACCTCTCTATGCACCTTCTAGGTACTTTCTAAAGCCCAATGGCTTCCTATAAAACCTAAGGGTTGTCTCTGTCAAATATATTAAATCTAAGCATTTTCTAGTCATGTATAATAGCTAAGCAAACAGCTACTTGCCCTTGATCACAGAAATAGCCTTAGCAATTTCTGTCTGGTATTGTTTCCAAAACCTTTCAAAACCCAGGTATATTTTAGGTCATTCTGGGTACTCACATACAAAATAAAGTTGCTCATCTGAGTTCTGGGTTCAGCCTTATTTCTACCCTCAGAAATCAGAGGAACCATAATCCTCCTAAAGTGACCATGTGCTATTTTGATATAAGAAGCGATCCAATAAAACTGAAGGTCATTTTGAATGACTAAAGGTTGACCAAAGCCATCCTTTAGAAGCCATAACCTTTTTTTTTTTTTTT